TTTAAAAACAGATATTAATGTCAATTTTAAAGCTATTAATGATTTAAATTATGTACATATTTATATAACTGACTATGTATTGAGTACCTTGGACTACAGGTATCTGGTCTTAGGAAAAGGTCATACTCAAATTGGCTCACATAATCCACACGTCCCAAGTTACCTACAGCAACCATCAGTTATTTGTAATAATTATTATTGGCCTCACCTCCTTCAAAACAAGCATCAAAGAGCAAATGGCCTTTATTAATTGGACCTTTATAGCAGTCTGGGAGAGGAATATAGTGAGAGACGTTACCCACAAAATCTCCTTTAGATGAGCTTTCCATTTTGTCCATTAGATTTATCTCTCCCTCTGAATCTTCTCTGTCAGAGGATTTCAGAATCCCTGATGAGCAGGCGGCCATTTTGTTTGCGTTGCCAGGGTAACACCACACCTTCTATCATGACGTCATTAAGGCGTGGCTCAAATAAAAATGGCAGCCAAAACAACTGGTTAGCATTTTTGATTTTTGACTCGTGTGTTGTTACTATTAGTGTGTCATTCAGTTACTGTTACCTCTTGTTATCTATAGACTGTCAACCAGTGGAGAGATGGGGTCATTCTACCGTAAAAGTAGGAGACTACCTGTACATGTGGGGTGGAGACCAGCCTGATCTCCCTGGAGTACACAATAATGAAGAGAAGAAATCAATGTGTTCAGTAATGGAGGTCTGCCACTTAGGGACTGGTATCTGGGAGCAGAAACCCACCACTGGTTACCCTCCGCTGGGTGTTATTTATTATGCAGCTGCTGCCATTGGAAGGGAAATATTTTATTTTGGTGGCTATTGTAATCATGACAGCTGCTGTCATAATAGTTTATACAGGTAAACATGATAGTTACTGATAAATATTATATAATATTTTTTTACAGTTTTAATGTTGATACCTTCAAATGGAAGGAACTCTCTCCTACTACATCTCATCATGGTCCTATGATGAAGTTGCTATGTGACATGATAGCAATAAAAGTGAACGGTGAGGACTATCTTGTAGTAATTGGAGGACGTGGACCATCTTCTAATAATACCCCATCACAACCTGGTGCCCAGTACAGTGGTAAAGGATTACTTTCTGGTTATCAACGATGCAATGAGATTCATTTCTATAAACTCTCAACAGGTCAGAGCACATACAGTTTATATTAATATAATGAAGTATTGTTATTTGGTGGTTCTCCACTCAGACTGGTTGCATTGAGAATTGCTTGCTTGTTTGTTCATGGTTGTCACTCCTAATTATTTGATAATATGTGACCATAATTGACAAAAGGTACCTTATGGCAGATTTTTAAATTGATCATTATAATGAAATATAACAACCTGTGACTGCTCTGTTAGTCAACAAATGTTTTTAAAAGTTACATAGTAACTTTTTCCATCCTCTGGAGTAATTTTATGATAAATGGAGCTCAGGAAGTTGGATTTTTAAGGCTATAAACACCAATTTTCCTATCCGCCATAAGGTACCTTTTGTCAATTATGGTCACATATGATCAAAGAAATATCAACTAGTTTGCTCCACCCAAACATTCCATTCACACTAATTATTATTATTGATATTTTTAGGACAATGGATATCACCGACTGTCACTGGAGACAGACCACCTCCTATTGATGAATTCACTTTAACATCAATTAATAATTCTTGTGCTATATTATTTGGAGGTAGCACTGATAATAGATCTAGTAACAATGTATATATTCTTAATTTTACTGATACATCAGTGGTGAGTGTATTATTAATATAATTACATTAATTATTAATTAATAATGTATTGTATGTGTGTATTAATATTCATAACACTGAGTGTGTGGGTGTGGTTTATGATAATTAAATTTTATTTTATTATTTTAGAATTGTACAAAGTTATCTAATCCTGGAGAATCAGTAGAATGGCCTTTTAAAAGACATGCTCATTCCAGTGTATTGATTAACACTAGCTCAGGACCACACCTACTAGTGGTGGGTGGATTTCTTACTTATGATATTTGGATATTTGATATTAACAATAAATCATGGAAGAAACTGGTAAGTATATTATAATATAATAACAATACATCATAACTGGTTACCGTATACAGTGGAACCTCCGATAACGGAACTTCTCTTTAACGAAAACCTCCTTATAATGAAAAAAAAATTAATGTACAAACTCATTTCCCCAGTTTTTCAATGAAAACAGACCTCCCTTTAACGAAAACTCCTCTGTTATGAAATAACAAAAGCTTTTTTCTGACCAAGATGCCATTTTACTTCCATTTAATGAATGGTGGGCGTGGCCATGCATGCACACTAGTTCTGTGACGTCATATGATATCATAATCAATTAAAAAGAGACCCGCCTACTGTAAAATGGAGTCTTTCTTCTCCTCACATTATGCTCTGTCACTCTTATTTTGCCAGCTTACTATCCAGGAGCACAGATAATTGCCTTTAATAGCCTTTCCCTCATTTTGAAACATATTCTGCAAACTTATTTCTTATTCTCTTTTCTTGTTCTGCAATTTGTTACCCAGCTTACTCTGCTGTCTCAGTACTGCCCCTCATTTTTATAAGAAGGTCAAGTCTCACATTGGGGATGCCTCATTTACAGAACTTCCCTTTAATGAAAACCTCTATGTAATGAAAAGATTCTTGTGTTCCAAAAGTTTCGTTATTTGGAGGTTCCACTGTAGTGGGTTTCTTTCGTTCGGCCAAACTTTCGTTTCCTGGGGGGAAATCCAACTTCGTGGGTTTTATTTTTGTCCTTCTGATCTGCAAGAGTTAAGCCACACCCAACAACCCCACCCATAACACCCACGTGTGCATGTGTTAGTGCTAATGAACTCCGGATCGAGCTCTCCCACAGCAAATTTCGTGGGTTTAATTTTCATTTTTGGAGCTTGGAGAACGAAAAGAACGAAAGTTTGACCGAACGGAAGAAACCCGCTATACGGTATTATTATGTACTAGTAATCAAGTATTGTACTTATGTATGTTACAGTGGAACCTGTGCTAACGGTCACCTGAGTAGTGAGGCCACCTCTCTATTACGGCCATAAGCCAAAATCCCGATCAAGGCCTGTACAAAAGGATCAGCTATTGACTTGTCTAATGCGTCCCTGTGTAATGCGTAAAGCGGCCGCTCGTCAAAGTCCCCTTTGGTTGCACAGAACCTTGCTACTCTGGCCAACCGGAAACCACACCCATCATTAATCATTTCTAACACTAATAATAATAATAACTAGAAACAATGTAAAACATTAAAGGGCTCAGCCTCGTAGATTATTAGCTGGAAAAAGCAGAATCTCTAAT